TATGATGTCCTAACGTTTAAAATGCAGTCCTTTTTCATGTTATCCTTTTTCATAGTTTACTTTGGATTATAGTCATATTCTACCGATATAAGTACCGTTTTATGTGAAGAATTTTGGAGATTATTACATAATTCAATAGTCAGTCACTAGCTTTCCCTCTTACCAATTTATTTTCTTACGCTTTCTATAACGGCGTCTGAAGTCAAATACTAAAGATTAATTAAATAATATTCAATAAGCGTTGTTTGATTAACAAAAGAATAATCTGTGGCGGCATCTAATACAAATACGAAGCACTCGTCGAGCTGATTTCAATCACCGTCATTCATTATTCACTCACTTCCCTTTGCATTCGCCGAAGTATATTCGCCAGTTTTGTTTTGTTTAACTTTCATATTTCAAACTCTTCGAGAGGAAGTCGTGCGATACAATACTTTTAATAATTGAATTGGTTAAAAGTTCGTGCTTTTGGAAAGTGGTGGTAAGATTGATTGATATTCCAAGTGGAATTCAATTAGATAATCAAAGTTTATGGTTATTCTATAGAAATCAAATTATCAATACTAATTACTTCGATACAAAATATTGACGCTATCACAATTTATTATTTTCAATGCGAGCTTTTGTTTGTATTTTTATGTCATTGACAACACTTAGGCGTGGTACTTTTAGTTAAAAAATGTCAAAAGATGGCGTTGGTCGTGGTGGCTAAAGATACATGCATAATATAATGTTATAACTACATATTAGAAAATAATACTTTCTTAGATTTACGCGAATATTTGACTTTTTAAATAAAACTATCTTTTCGGATTATTTCGCGGGTTTATGTTGATTTTTGGTTACCGACGTTTCGAATGCTTTACAGCAATCATGGTCACGGGAGAGACCAACGTTATAGACGTCTCAAAGGCGTTATATACTTGTTACAGACAGTGGCTACCCACTATTTCAAAAAATTAAAGATGGCATCAAAGTACCTTACAATATTTGTTGATATTTCAGTTATTCTAAGCATTGAAATATTTTTAATAAGTATTATTATCAAATATAGCAATACCATTTATTTAACATATTTTATAGTATTATTTTATAGTCCAAAAATCAAAATAAATCCGCGAAATAATCCGAAAAGATAGTTTTATTGAAAATACATATTAGACACTTTATATTTTTATATCAAATCGCAAAATTAACGTACGGATGTATCCGACGACTACTAACGAATATTGTAAATACAGGAACTTAAAATGAGCTTTCTGTCGGCACATAAATAGCATGAAGAATAGCACTCTTGATAACATTTTTTGTTGTCATTAGTTGACGTAAAATAACGTTTCTGTGGCGTTGTATCATGATATAAAAAATAAATTGTGTGAAAAATTACGATGATTACATCTAATAATAGCGGATGTCGGACTTGTTTGATATTGGCGTCATTATTTGTTCATTAGCAGCAATGATAGTGACCTGGAGGAGAATTCTGTTTTATTTTCCTATTAACTTTTTACTATATAATCACATTAAAATTATAGTCCATTAACTTTCAAATTTTGCTACATAAAATTATTGTAATCTATAATTATTATTACCTGCACAGCTGCCTGAATAAATTAATTTTATTATATACAAGTCCAATATTATTTCAAAGCTCTCATTAGACACTTTATTTCATAAAAATTGAATATCTGACTACACTTAATTAGACATGCTCGTATCATGTCTGATATCATATGATTAAAAAAAAACAAACTACATATTTTCATTTGCCTTATTATATTTTAAAGAAGATAGTAGGTACGAAGGAAACGAGTAATTTAAAACATAACAAAACCTAAAAGCAGTCTAGAAAAATAATGTAGAACTCTTAACTAGATGCTGGCTTTACGTTTTTAAAAGTATAAAAAGATCTTAAGCTTATAAAGAACAAAGAATAAAATACAAATATAATATTGGTTAAAAGTTAATAATAATAGCGTCATAAATTGAATTAAACTTGGTCTGCGCTACCTTAAAAGTATTGTGTTATAAAAACTGTCAATGATATAAATAAATACAAAGCAGTTGAAATTATTAATTCAATACATAAATCAATTTTAACTGTACATTAACCTTTATTTGAAGCGAAATGTGATTCAATTTTAAATTCATTTGTGTGACTTTAAACAAACTTGTCAGTCTCAGTCTTGACCTTTACATTCAAAAAGAACCCTTTATCAAGTCACGAAAGATTCTGACGCGTTCGTGCCACTGAATGCCTGTGGACAGACCCTTTTGCCATATCATGCAATTAAAGCAGTCCATCGACAAACAGTAAGCAGATGCCGATCAGTTTTATCAAATACATTAAACTGAGAGCCCCTTCCATTTCGTTTGTCGTTTTTAGTTTACATAAATCCTCTTTTAGCTTAGATAGCGTAATGCATCGGCTTCTGAAGAATATAATTAAAAGTCCATTTATATTTTAGTCTGATTATTATTATTACAGCGCAGTTCACCGCTAATTAAGGATTCGAATGTTCATTATGGTTCCAAAAAAGTCACTGCTTCGTATATATATACATAGTATATCGTTACAAGAACGGGTTGATTACATATCGAATTACTGGAAAAATATTTTAAGACCTGTAAGTACTTATTTTCTTTATACACAGATATTTGAGCAAAGTCGTAATTCCTTCCAGTTTCAAGTTAATTAAGCTTTAAAACAAATAAAATTAATCAAGTTGAATAATTAAAATTAAATGACATAAGTTCGTTTCTACAATTGAATCTTTGATAAGATTGTAGCAATATAATTGAAATATTTAGACCGTTTTTTACTGATTATAAAATAATATACAAAAAAACGTCAAATTATTCATATTCAGTTTTGAGGACCATCATCTAAAATTAAGAATTCAAACATTATACCTTAGAAAAATGGTTAGCAGTAAATGTAATTTCATCACTTGGTTCCTTATATTTTCGGGCTCCTCCTTAGGGATATATAACGTCTAAATATACAGTGGTGGTGTTGTTCCTTTATAAGATATGTATGTTTGCTTAAGAAATAAATGGGTAAATTTCAAGCGTCGGTACTAAATGAAACCGCAAAATAGAGGCTAACTTGAGTAGTGTTTTGTGGTAAGAACTGCTTCTTGCTGCGGCAATTATATCCTGGATGTTACAATGGAGTTTATTATCTTTTTGCGTCTTTCTGATTGTCGGGAATGGTTTAAGTTATATTTTAAATTATGTTTTTCCATTATTGTAATACGTATTGTTTGAAGGATTGTATTTTCTATATATTTATTGTAAAATATATAATATTACTAGCAGAACCCGCGGCTTGTAGTAAGGTAGTTTCATACAATCTTTCATCCCCAATTTTATCCCCTTATAGGATGAATTTCGAAAAATGCTAAAACATGTATTTATTTAATTTTATTAAAAAGTCATTTACCACAGTAAAAAGCCTATGTCACTCTCCAGCCCTCCAACTATCTCCACACAAAAAATCACGCCAATCCGTCGATCCGTTTCAACGTGAAAGAAGGACAAACAAACAAACACATTTTCACATTTATAATATTAGTACTGATTCAGAAAAACATATTTAACGATACAGTGATATTTAAATTGTCAATCTAATGACTTATAATCAATATTTTATTTAATTATTATTTATAGATAACAGGAATCTCATAATGTTGATCATAAATTTTCAGTATTTATTACTACTCTTAAGTCTTGATGGCCCTTCGTTGAACAATTGCTATGAACAGTCGCTTGTAAGAAAGTGTCCTTTCAGTCTTGCTCTTTTTGAATTGAAACGTGAATGATAAAAAATATTTATTAAGTATGGCATTATTCATTTTAATAGTAAAAATAACCATTTCAAAGATTTTGAAAAGTGTTTTCGCCTATTTGTCTTTATGTAATTCTCGTAATACATAACATTATAGTAAATCATATCTAACATAAATAAGAAATATTATGAGTGGAGTCGTCTTATTTTTCTTTTACCAGGACGAATGAAAAAAAAGCAGTCAAGAGGACTGTTGACAGAAGTGAAAACTTAAAACTATAAACTTGCTATTTTTGGATATTCAAATTAATTGTTTGATCTTAAATTAAACTTTGTGAATTAAAACTGTTTACATTTATCTGGTTTTGACATTTATCGGCACTCTGAGTGTTGGCGTTAACACATCATGTGACCATGTGGATGACGACTTACATGAATTTACTCCCCAGCCAAACCTGCCTATAGAACTTTCACTTCAAAAACATGTGTGTGTACTTATGTACGCACGTAAGAAGTTATACTTCTTTAGCGTAACAGAACAAAAATAGGCAAAGATTTCATCCCGTATGCCACAACCAGTGATGTGTCAGATCGTTAAAAATTGACCTATATCCGCGGATACGGATACGAATACGGATCATTAGTCTCAAGATCCACGAATACGGATACGGAGCTCATATAACTATCGTAAATTTTCAAACATTTCATATTTTTCTTAATAAGCATACCATAAAGATATAAGGCTTGTTTGTAACTCACTACGATAAATGATAAAATATTCACCTTGTGCAAATAAAAGGCGCCAAATATGTGGTTTTAATAAATAAATAATAACTTAAATCGTATTCAATAGTATTCCACTGCACTTCGAATTTCATATACTTCATGAAATATAATAATAAAAAAGATCCGATCAAGATCTTTTTGATACGGATATTCGGTGCATCACTAGTCACAACTCTCTGTTTGTAAAGGAATGCAGCTAACTTCATCATGTCGCTTTTTGGCTGTCGGTGTGCGCGCGCATCGGAAAAATTTTAGTCTCATATTTTTTCCAAACGTGCTAAACGACATATAACTTCAAAAATATTAAACAAAAAACATATGGCACAATTGCTCTATCAACAACCTGTATAGGAATGGATCATGTATCTTATTTATTTATTGCATTTATTTTACTTTTTTACTTATATTTATTTTTTGTTCACAGTTTGCAGCACCTCGACCTGGCGGGGAGTCATCGTGTTTGCAGGGCCCCGACTGTTTTATGGTAAGAATACGAACTTTTCTGATCCCATACACTTAACAAAGCTATAAATCAATTTTAGAGCCAATTAATATTGGTATATAATTTTCATCCTATAAGTCATAATTGATTCGCCAATTACTTAATAATTGCGATTAATCGAATTAAAGTTAAAAAACTAATGTGGGTTCTAAAAATAAATAATTATAATTAATTTTATTTTAAATGTCAAAAGTTACGACTAGCTTATTACTTATAAATATTAATATAGATATTAAATACCAGTTTTCCATTAATTAATATCATACGAAAATAAAATTTAATAGCTGTTTTAAAACATATCCTGGCTAGAAATTCCGTAACGAAAAAAACCTAACACCCCCCACTCCGACCGGCACAGCGGTGATACTTTTTTCCATCTATCGATAAATACCAGAACTTTTAATGACTTTTTGAAATATCACGCTTGTCTCTTTAGTTCAGCAACCCGCCTTTAGGTGGCATTGGTTGTATTGGAAAACTACCGTAAACAGCTGTTTGTAAGAAAGTATATAGGTGTATAGGTATTTATCATCTATGTACAACAGTGAATATCTGTACTCGTATAATTTGTGTACAAAGTGTTTTAAATATGAATAAACAAAGTGCATTTATTAATTAAGAAAGTCAGAAAAAATAGTGAAAGAAAATGATTTAGTACTCTATATACATTCATTTTATTATTATTATCACACATGCAGTATTATTTTTTGTTTTGTTAATTTATATATAATACTGCTATAAAGATAACCAAAATTTTTGATATTAAAATAAGCTTGCATAAGTTGATAGAAAATGCTATGCAATAGCTTTACCGCGGCAGTCTCCGAGTGCCACATTTAATTGTTTGTTAAATAATATTTATTGTCGATAAAAATATGACCTTTAATTAGTTTTCGAGCTACCTTGGTTCTTGTAGGAACAATTCAATTTTTGAAAACGTAAAGAAGTATCAATTAATTAATTAATCTAATCAATTTTCAATCTATTTATTAATTAAATAAAAGATTGAAAATTGTTATTGTTAATCGAAAATTAAAAAAAATTACCAAAATAAATGCATAAATTCCACCTTCTTAAGCTACTAAATAAGGTCGTAAATTCATTATTTCATTTACTTACTGATAACGTACAGCCACCAAGGATTTGGCTCGGCGTTAAAAAATTTTTAAGTGTTACTTAAGTAACGAAAATGCGCACTATGAAAGAATTTTATAAATTGTTGTTTTAAATAGGGGATATCATTTGCATGGTATTTGAAAATTAATGTTACAGATCGATTTTCATATTTTTGTAGCTTTTGTTTATATTGTCAATATAAACTCGCGGTTACTAGCTTATATTATCGTACTTGCTTAAATTGTCTTAAACTAAATTACTTCATAAAAATCATACCAAAAAACCTGGCTTTATATTATCTGTTTTCTTTTTAATATAAATGAGATAATAAAACGGTTTATTCTCGAGCACGATATTATATAAGATACAATTCTTATATATTACATACTTATAAATAATAGAAAGAGCATTTTATACTTGATTACACAGAAACGAAGAATCTAATCAAAAACGTATCATAATTATACATTTTTCTTTGATGTCTTTTTGCAATTAGCACGTAATTATTGAACTTATAAGGGCATCTATTAATTATTGTTATTAAATAAAAATCACATTTACGAAGCCCACAGCGTCGCCTCGAATGTCCTCAAACACAAATAACTCATGTTAATAATGAAGTCATATATAACTTTGTCAAATCAAGTCAACGTAGCATGAAACCTTAAAGTACTAATGAAATTACTTGTTAAAATCAATAAAATTGCCACTTCAAAGGCTCCATGGATTCTAGGCGACAGGACATTTTGTCAATACCAGTAATTAATAACTGCGGCTCAGCTCGTTCTCATAATTATTAAAGCTTACCAAGGCAAGAGTGGGCGTCAAGTTAACGTCAACTCCAACTAATGAGTGTTTCAAATGACAAATGCTGCGTTTCAGTCGGCCATCGAACGTATCCGTCTAGATGTGTCACATATTAAAAACCATTTGATCTTTACAAAATAAATTGGTTATATGTATATTCTAAAGATGTCTACAATTTTTTTTTATCTTTCATAATTTTTTTTGTTAAATATACCTATAAACAAATTATAGATAGCAGATTAATTAATTTTATGTTTTATTGCAGTGCTGGGAAAACTGTGAGCTTCTCCAGTCAAACTATCAAGTATGGGGTGCAGTATGTGACGAGAAAGATATCTGCGTATGTATTCAACTAGATCTATGATTAGGTGATATGTAATGTAAAAAAATACATTAAAATTAATTTTTCCTTTTTGTTATAGTTCCCTGGCTGTAAAGTAGCTTGTGAATTCCATACGGAAGCAGCAAGACCATCTCAAACCCAGCCGGTAATCCATACAAAAGGAGAAGGTGTAATGAGGGTTAGTGGGGCTCTAGCTCGCTGGCCCCCTCCAGCTCCACGAGCTGCGTCTCGTCCTATGCCTTTTGTCTATGTAGTAATGCGCCGAGCAGCAGAAGGACCATGGAGACAAATAATTCAAACACAATCCCTAGCTACGAGAGTTCCATCTAACAATGAAGGGGCCCTTCTTCGGGTGCTTGTCGTAGATCCTTTAGGATTAGTTACTATCTACAGTCCAGATGAAACATGGGTAGCACACGATAGCAACAACTCCAATCATGATGAACATAAATGGACATTAAAAGAAATATCACTTATTCACCAAAAAGTCCTTGTCATTGGAGAAATTGCTTGGGAACCGAGAATAGCTCGTGGTGTGTATCTTGTGACGTGGGAGGTCGATGGGGGAGGCCTGAAAGGCAACTTATTCACTGATTCTACTCGTGTCACTTTGTCTCTATGGCCAGATACAATTTATCATATTCAAGTTGAATTAGTATCTCGGACTCCAGGAGTAGATAATGAAAAATCTGAAACTATGACCATAGACACGAGCAGGGCGCAACGTGTTTCTACCGAAAGTGTGCAAGATGTTGAAGTTAGTGAAGGAGATCGTCTTATGTCAGTTCTTGTTAGTTCAATGAGAGGTGAACGCGTCCCCGAACGTACTCCAGATTCAGAACTTGTTTTAGGCTGCTTGTCAGCCATGATAGCTTTTGGATTAGCTGTACTAGCCGCCGTAGTGTGGAGGCGGAGGCGACGGGGCACTTTTCCAGGAACAAACGTTTACGTTGGATCCTCTTCTGTACTCAAACGAAAGCTAGTTGAAGATTTCATTCCAACGCCACATTGTTTTCAACCTGTGATTGCTCCAAAATCCCCAACCAACGGAACCACACCGAGGGATGTCGTTGTGTGACGTCATAGTTTTGACATGCTGTCTTTTGAAGACCGCGTTTTGAGTTCCTAAAATTGTCAGACGATAAATTCGCAAAGGAATAATTGATTGTAGGGCAGTGCAGTGAAAAATGGATATAAGAATGTGATACAGTTATGTAAGTTGTGCCAGTGATTGGAAACGTGGCGATAAATTTCTTTAAGAACTTTGCTGTTTAATTATTTATGTTACACTCGGTAATCTAATGAACTCTTTGAAGTCACTGTATATGCTATAAAGAAATTATCTACGTTAACGAAAGGAAAATACCCATATGACTTTGGTATGTAGATCTAGGCAAATTGTATATTGAAAAATGTACTTATAAGTGTATTTATGAATCACAGTAAGATTAACACCAGACAAGTTAGAAGTGTACATATAATGAGAACATGCTAAACCATCATTTCTTGATAGTAATTAATTTAAATGTGCTGTAAATAAAATACGTGTTATAAGAGCAATTCTCTCAATTAATGATAAGGTATTTTTATCAATCTCGAAATATTTAAAATGTACTCCTATATAAGTTTGCAGTCTTTAAATTATTATGTATTTCGTGATAACGCAATAAATTAAAGAAATTGCCAAAACACCTTCATTTCTATTATCGGAAACACATTTCATAGAAACTTAAAATAATAAAAATATTTTTACAGCTAGTCCTTATTATCGTTTAGTTATAGTTCTTAGATGATATATTTTACTCTTATTGCGGATATTACTTACTCTAAGGATTTTACGACTTCTTCAGCAATAAAATTACATGTATGTATTTGTAAATATTTGAAACATTTATTGTAAAAACTGACAGAGAAATTATATTTTTCGTGGACGTAAACAGATATTTCTAAATGTTATGAAGTGAAAATAAAATTAATTGTATTTTTATTCTAAATCTGTGTGGAATTTGTTCCATAACTAGGTATTAGTCAAGCGAACATAAATTGTCTTGTAATAATTGTTAAATCATGGTGTAGTCAGATTTGTTTGAAGTTGATGTTAGCTTTAACATGTACTTAAAACTTTTCGTAGAGCATAACCTAATTCGCCAAAATTACTTTGTGCTGTTAACAAATAAATTTTGTTTTTTATGACCAAATTTAAAATAGTATAAGTTAAGTGCTTAGTTAAATTTATTTATTTTGAGATTACTTTCGTACCTTCATTGAAATTTGTAAATAAATATTACTTGCTATATTGATGCAGCTAAAATTTAACAAGTATAAATAAATATGTCTGCCAAATTAATGAAAAGTTTTATTTAATTTATTCATAAATACAGTTATAGAGTAAGCACACACAATACACTAACATGAAAATATCGTTACAAAAAATCTATAACGTTGTAAGTCCCATACATAAGTTTAAATTGTAAGGATTTATTGCTCTGACGGTTTTAATAAAAACGATAATTCCAAGAAAGCTTTTAAATAAACATTAACTCAGTGATTCAAAGGGCTCGTTATTTGGCTCGTGATTTGGCTGAGTTTCGAATAAAACGGTACCATTGTCTAGGGATTAACGTCAACGAAATTGTTGTCACAAATGCCGGATCAAACAATAAGATTTGTATATCACGCTACCCTAAGGTTTTTGTTGAGTATAGAATTAAAATGAACTCAGCTAGAAAAACTAGAAACCGGCATCATAAAACATTATAAACTCAAAGTAACTTTAGACTAATAACGAATTTCATTAAGCTTAATCTCATTAGCTTCTTACCTACAACGTGACAATTATAAAAAGGTTATTCAAACATGCAAATGTGAAGGAGGTCTATGTAGATTACTTGTAAATGGAAGATAGCGTCAGAATTTGAACTATAATAGCCCGTATTCATGCTCTTTCCGTCATAAATCAGACTTATAGATTAGATTAAACAGGCTTTTTGTTTTCACGTCGTTAGATTCGAATTCAAATAAAATATTTCTTGGTGACACTTTTAGATAATACTCATTAGTATGGACTTCTAGTTTCTCCATAAGTTTTCATTAATAAAAATACTTTTTGTTAAAACGTACGGTTATTGTTAGATGGGGCAATTTATTTTATTTACTTATTTTATTCTTGGCTCGTGGTTCCAGTATAAAGCATAGGCTCATAAATTACAGGGAAAATAGAAGGTGAACGCTTCCACGAGTATCCTTTTGGGAACGGCCAAGCATTCTTTTAAGATTTATTACAAAACTTGGGCGCATTTCTTATTCCTTATGGGTTTCACGTCCAATAGTCTTAAATTCGGTCATTTTTCTGCACTCTGCTCTCTAAACTTTTAACTGATATTACGAGTAACTTTTTAATTTAAATTGCACTGCTGAAGCTATTAGAGAATACAATTATTTATATATTTTTATTTTTGTAACCTTAATATCACAAAGTAATATTTACTAGTTCAGATGTAATTACTAAGTATTAATATAAATAAATAAAACAAATATATCATATCTCATATCCATATTTAGCTAGGTTGTTTCTCATGCAATCGCCAGACGGTAACAAGTAAAGCCGTCTGTACCATGCACCAGCAATTAAGATAAAAGTGACATAAAATATATCGATTGCATTTTATATCTGCCTTATCTCAAAGCGAGGTTCGTAATCGTCGGAATCCTTATGGCTGCTAGTGAATCTATCTTATTACCAATCTAATATTTTTAAAGAAAATACTGATACTCTATTTACTAAATTAGTTAAAACATTTTCATATCTGTTCTGTAGCTCTTTAATTACAAAAGTGAAAGGGCTAATTTGTACAAAGATTCAAAGGCAGGTTCTGGCTCGAACGAGGATAATATACGTGTACTGCAACAGGTTTTGATTCGAGAAGTTGTAATACTTAATCTAACGTCATCTCAGAATTCCAATTGGTCGATGGAAATTCAGGTTACGCAATTAAACCAAGAAATAGCCACCGTCTGTATGAAGGTTTTTTAATGACAAGTCCTTTAAGCGTCATGTATCTAAGGCTATAAGTGATAGAGTTATCAGAAAACGCCTTGGGCCTATGTACAGAACATTGTAATATAATAGTATGATTATATTATACTGTCAATGAAATATTTATTTTCTTGTTCTTTAATCATTTCTATATTATGTTATAAAGATTATTATTTAAGCATATCATTTTAATAAAAGAAGAAAGTTTTACATACTTAAGTATCTAATAGTTTATAATGTCAATTTATTATGACATATTATAAAAAATATTTAAATTCATTTACCTAAAACTAAATTAATAAATCGATAACTCCACACATCGCAATAACTGCCAAAGATAAAAACAGACAAGGCAAACTAAAATCTACAATGTAGTATTTTAGCAGAAAAGCACCTAATTACTTTCACGAAGTTTAATTTAATCTCCGCTATCAAGTATGAAATGGCCGATCCCCGAGGGAGCCATGCGCCCGCGCAGGTAATGGGCGGCTGTCAGCGTGTAGGCGATCGCTAAACATCACGTTGTAAATACTGGTAAATATTTGTCTTCAAGTAATTACTTTAATTGTTCACTCCGCTTTCTGCAAGACGTTGATACGTGGGCAGTTTGAAAGGTTTATTGAATGAGCTTACTGGGAATTGTTTTTGTGTTCAAAACTAGTTTATTTTAGGTAATTCTAACTCATATTATCTATGATGCGTTTTAATGAAAATTAAAGCAATCATTATAGACCAAAGTTTATGTAATAGGTACATAGAAGTTAATAAAACCATAATCTTTTTAAAATAATTGTGTTCTTGGAACTACTATTATAAATGCGAAAGTTTGTATTTGTTTTTGTGTGTGTATGTTTGTTGTTCCTACACGCTGAAAGGGCTTGAGTGATTTTTACAAGAGTATATATGTAGATAATTTAAGATCTGGAGCAACACGTAATAAAATAATAAATAGTCAATAATAAAGGCCATTCAGTTCAATCTATGAAAGAAGATAAATAAATACGTATCGCTGATAAAATAAACACAAATTAACAACGAGATCAATGATTATGTTACATACATATAACTCAATCCGGGAACTAGAAACGTAAGCCATAAATCTACTAGTTACTGGAGCAGAATATAAGCTTATGAATAAACACTTAACATTATTGAATGCAGCCCGTTTCGACTCTACATTTAATAAGTGTTTCTTGGGAGAGTTGTTCTTGCATAATTATTGTGTGTAAACATCACTATCGAATCAAATGCAATTAATTTCTTCTGTCTGTTTGTCTATTTATTATTAATTTTGTCCTCTTTTTTATCGAGATTTTCCACTAGAACTACAGTCAGGTTTAATTACCATTCTTTTATATCTTATATAATTAATTTGAAGTTTGAATAAATTATGTATGTATACTGATTATGGAAAATTCTATAGGAAGTACGGAAGATGTACTTTACCGACCCAAAACATACAAATATTGTATAGAAATAAAACATGCGACAAGACCAACATCTAGGCCGAATCAACCATAGCTACTTAAATCTATTGTATTACAAAAATGGCTTAACTCAAATCAAAATCCATAAGTTTTATAGAAATAAATATTAATCAATAAAATATCAATCAAGTACTAATGAAGAAATTAGAAGAAAATCTGTAACAAAACCTTGGCATTTTACTATTAGTGTTTCTGTAATAACATGATTTAAGAAAGTATTGATTTTTCTTTTTAATTACTTAATATGATATCATGTTATGGACAACAGGTGGCGCTGATGCCTAATTACAACGGTTACAAATAACTGGTTATAATAATTAGAGATGGGCGGTGTAGGCGGCGCTTCTTGGTGTTAAGGCGTGGTCGGTTTTCGGCGATGCCAATTCATGATTAATTTTACAAGCTATCCAGTATCGCGATCGCCCCTTTACTTATTTAGATTATCAATGAAATTAGACATATCTTCTCGAAATTTTATATCCAATCAGTATTATCTAACTTATAATAAATTAACCTTAAATGTTCAGGGCATATCATAATTCCAGGGATTAA